AAAAAAAAAAAAAGTGGCTTCCCTTCACGATTTCTCAGGGCTGTAAGACTTCTCCATCTCTATCCACTCAGCTATTGATGGGCACGCAAGGAGCTTCCACTTTTTTTTTGCCACTACAAACAGTGCTGCGATAACATTCTTTTTTTTTTTTTTTAAAGATTTATTTATTTATTTGAGAGAGCGAGAAAGTACACGAGAGGAGGGAGAGTTAGAGGGAGAAGCAGGCTCCTCGCCGAGCAGGGAGCCCGATGCGGGACTCGATCCCGGGACTCCAGGATCATGACCTGAGCCGAAGGCAGTCGCTCAACCAACTGAGCCACCCAGGCGCCCGCGATAACATTCTTGTACATGAATACTTTGTGCACGTATGTGGAGTTTTTCCAGCGCACATGCTTAGGAGTGGAACTGCTGAGTTGTGGGTTTGGGTTTACCCATCTTTAATTGTAAGGGCTGCCATATATGGTTATGCACAGCTTTGCCATTTGGGGCCGGATTCTTCTTCAAAGTGGTTGCGTCAGTTTACATTCCCACATCCTCACCAGCAGGGCAGAAGAGATCCTGGTTGCCACATCCTCACCAACACTTGGTCTTGTCAGATGTTTAAAATTTGGCCATCTGATGTGCGTGAAATATGCTCGTCAAATTATGGTTTTGATTTGCATTCCCCTGATTACTGGTGAGGATGAAACATCTTTTTCAGAAGTTTATTGGCCACTTAGGATTCTTCTCCTGTGAATAACCTGGGTCTGTGTTTCTGCTGAGTTTTTATTTTTTGTATTAATTTATAGTTCTTTCTATATTACCATGCATAATTTTTTTTTCATAATCTTTTTTGTCAGTTACCTGTGTAACAAATATTTTCTCCCAGTGTGAGGCTTTTGTTTTCACTTTGTTTTATGGTATCTCTTCCTGTAAATGTTTTTAACTTTAGTGTCAAATTTATCAATCTTTTGGGTGGCTCAGTCGGTTGAGCGTCTGCCTTTGGCTTAGGTCATGATCTTAGAGTTCCGGGATCTAGCCCCGGATCGGGCTCTCTGCTCAGTGGGGAGTCTGCTTCTCCCTCTCCCTGCTCTTGTGCTCCCTCTTGCTCTCTTTCTCCCTCTCAAATAAATAAATTCTTTTTAAAAATTTATCAATCTTTTATAATCTCTGCTTCTTTTGGTGTCTTGTCTAAAAAAAAAATCTTTTTTTTTTTTTTAAATATTCTATTAATTTGACAGAGAGAGACACAGAGAGAGAGGGAACACAAGCAGGGGGAGTGGGAGAGGGAGAAGCAGGCTTCCCGCCGAGCAGGGAGCCGGATGTGGGGCTCGATCCCAGGAGCCTGGGATCACGACCAGAGCCGAAGGCAGCCGCTTAACTGACTGAGCCACCCAGGTGCCCCCAAAAATCTTTTTTTTAAGTAGGCTCCACCCCCATTGTGGAGCCCAGTGTGGGGCTTGACCTGGGGGTTGAAGTGGGGCTGACGTGGGGCTTGAACGTATGACCCTGAGATCAAGATCTGAGCTGAGATCAAGAGTTGGAAGCTCAACTGACTGAGCCACCCAGGCGCCCCTAAAAAAAAAAAAAAAATCCTTTCTACCTAGAGATCACAAAGGGATCCATCTATATTTTTTCTAAAACATTTACAGTTTTTCCTGTTGTATATGTGTGTTAGTATTTGCTTTTTTAAAGCATTAAAAATATTTCTGAAAGGATACATAGGAAAGAGATTAACATCAGAGGTCTCTGGGGAGCGCAATCAGGTAACTGGAGATCACAGTGAGGGGAAGACTTTTCACTGTTTACCTCTTGTTGCTTTTGAGTTTTGAACCATGTGAACAAAATGCCCTATTCTTACATAATTTGAATAAAAAGTCATTAAGAAATGTTCTGCAGGGCACCTGGGTGGCTCAGTCAGTTAAGCGTCTGCCTTCAGCTTGGGTCACGATCCCGGGGTCCTGGGATCGAGCCCCGCATCGGGCTCCCTGCTCAGCGGGGAGTCTGCTTCTCCCTCTCCCTGCCACTCCGCCTGCTTGTGCTCGCTCTCTCTCTGACAAACAAATAAATATTTTTTAAAAAAGAAAGAAAGGCTCTGCAAAAACACAAATTGTTGTTCACGTTTAATCCCTAATGTAGCTAGAGCTATTTTTTGTGTATGGTGTGAGATAGGGACCCAACTTTAACTTGTCCACATGGATAGCTATGCCCTTCCTGCCTTTCTATGCTCAGCCCATTCTTATTCACCCTTCAAGATTCAGCTTGGGTTCATATATTCCGACTATATCGCCACAACACCCTGCAGAACAATGCTGTCCAATAGAAATACAATGCAAACTACATATGTGATTTAAGATTTTCTGGTAGTCACATTAAAAAAGAAATAGGGGAAATTCAGTTTAATAATATGTTTCCTTTAACCCAATGTATGTAATCGGCATTAAAATTATTGAGATACTTTACATTATTTTTTTCACACTAAATATCCAGAGTCTGGTGTGTTTTTTACACTTACAGCAGCCCCGACTAGCCACATTTCAGGGGCTCTGTGGCCACATGACTGGTGGCTATTGTATTGTATTGGCTGTAGAGACTGTTGGCATAGAATGTGTCACATTATAGTGGAATGATCTGTCCTCATACCAGCCTTTTACTAGCCAGTAAATTTCTGGAGTGTGCCACTGAGTCTTATTTTCATCTACATCTTCCTCCTCCTCCACATACCTAGCTAGTGCCTTGCATGGAGGTACTCCATTTTTTGATGAAAGGATTGAACTCTGTTGATTCATTTTTTCTTACATAAAGCTGAACCTTGCCCACTGGAAAGTTCTACCCAGAGGCTCTAGCTCTGCTCCCGGGAGCCTCACATGAGGTGATGTTTCCCTAAATTTTCTCTTCCTTCAGCTATATATCCCGGAGCGTTCTCCATCCCTTCTCTGAGCTCTCGTCTAAATGACCACTGGGCTTTCGGTCAACACTCATACCTGCCTAGAAGGCATTTTGTTACA